CTTAACGGTCATGGTAATCCTGTAGACTGGTTTCGAGGAATTACTTCTGATCAGTGAAGGAAAGATCAGACCCAAACAGCAGTATACTTGGGACTTGACTGACTTAACGCGTATGTATGAAATCCTCGTCTGAGAGAAACCTTTGTAACAGCCCCATTTCGTGAACAAAATCCCAAATGCGGAGAAAAAATTTCACATGCACCAATACTCTAAATAGAAATCAAAATGAGTCTGATGAATGTATTATTGAGGAGAGATAAATACATATATGAGAAAATACAAATTTCGAAATGATATCTTGAAACATTTATCTCTGTCATCGTTCCTATACAGTAGGATCTGATGAATACATGCCGGAAAAGAACTATTTTTACGACTGATACCACGATGCAAGTTACGTCACATAGGATATTTTTCCAGATACTTCTCGTTCATCCGACAGGACCACACTGAAATTAATCGAGTAGATCATTTGCAGACCGGTTTTGAAGTATTACTTCTCATCAGTGCAGAAAAGATCCGACCCCTACAGCAGTGTGTCTCTGGGACTCGACTGACTTCAACTCGGTTCGACTGCACACATGAAACATTCATCTGAAAGAAGTTTTTAACTAGTAAAAGCTCCTCTCGATAATGAATCCCCAAAAGCAGAAAAGAAATATACGATGTACCAACACTCTGATAGAAATCGTAATAAATCTGATGAACGTATCGATGAGAAATCCAAACGTATAAAAAATACATATTTCAAAATGAAATCTCGATCCATTCAGCTCTTTCAATGTTCCTACACAGTAAGATCTGGCAAATTCCTGTCGAAAAACAACGGTTACCTCTCATCAGTGTTGGAGCGATACAGCCCAAACAGCAGAACTCGCGTATGTTCGAAGGCAATGTCATGGCTGCTCTCTGAGAGAGCGTGTTCTGCAACTGCTCATTCATCTGTCTGGCTAGAGCGTCAACTTCCCTTATGCTTCTTTTCGTGATTTCGGTCTAGAACAAACCACAACTACATGGTATTCAGTATATTCCAGGGGTACTTAATATAACCCATAGATTTTCAGCTAACCTGAGACTATTTTCTATCATTTGTGTGGGCTTAAAAATGACCTAGCGATGGAAAATAATAGTCTCACGTCAGCTGAAGACCACGTGATCGATTAAGTACCCCTGGTGTAGTTATGATTCAATCTACATCTCAAGAAAAGAAGCATTGAATTGCGCTTACTTAGCTTACAATGAGTTGCCGCTATAGCCAAACAGATAAATGGGCAGTTGCAGAACATGCTCTCTCAGAGGGCAGCCATGACATTCCCTCCAGCGTACGCAAGTTCTTGGTGAAACCAAAGGGTACTATCCAAGGTTATTCGGAGATGCCACAGAAATACATGAACATAAAAATAATTTCAATCGTAAAGAACAGAGCGGTCGGCCGTCCGACACCTAGTCCCATTATAAATATAGGCGCACCAGTATCATTTCCAGTTTGCGCATCGCAGCAAGGTCACTTCGACCGTTGCCATCTGCCACCAGACGGAACGTCAGGTATGGAAACCTAAAAACATTGAATAATCTGCGTATCGCAGCAAGGTCACTTCGACCGTTGCCATCTGCCACAGACGGAACGTCAGGTATGAAAACCTGAAAACATTGAATAATCTGATAAATTGGTTAAGGCTTTCGCATCCAAGATTTTCAGTGTTACGATCTTCGTTCGGGTTTGAAGGTCGTCGTGGTTTTGAACTGTATCCTAACGTTTCGCTAGCACGAGTGACTGGCTTCTTCAGAGGTCTATTCATCCTGATGATTCTCCGTTCATAAGCTGTTTTTATGTTGACAGAGGTAGCCCGCCTTTCTGGTTGGTGCGTTGTTATTGGCCGAAGTGTTATTACATGTTGCATTGCGTTGCACTGCTGCCACCTTAGCATCTTTTAGTATCGGATTCCAATTCCGGTTGAGCGTTATCGCCTCATCTTTTCTGTTATAGTCTTCTGTATGTTTATGAATTTCTATGGCTTATCGCCTCCTCTTTTCTATTGTAGTTGTCTGTATGTTTATGGATTTCTGTGTTCACGTGTTCCGCTACTGTTGATTGTTCTATTTGACCTAATCTACAGTTTCTCCGATGTTCATTCAGCCTTATACCCATGGATCTTTTGGTGGTACCGATATACACTTTTTCGCAGGTGCGTGGTATACGGTATACCCCCGCAGTTGATAGTGGATCTCTTTTGTCTTTCGCAGGTCTCCCAGGAAAATACAGTAAAGCCTGAGACAATATTATTGGACAATTAAATAATGGGATACACTATGTGTTCGTTATGGTTGAAATATATGATTCATCACCCATAGCAAAGACAAAACGTTGAAATTTTTTAAGATAACAACAGCATTGAAAGACGGGCATTGGGGAAAATGCCCGAATATTACTCGATTTGGTTATTGACCTGCCCTTGTATCAAAAGCAAATTCATAGCTTAATCAATGAGCATAATAGCAAAATACCTATATTTTAAAAATGATATTCATATTGAGGAATTTACATTTTTCCGATTTATTGGAATACATTACATATATTTTCAACTATGCTATTGAGACTAGTGAATTTCACTTCCAATGGAAACATATCAAAGTTAAGCCATTGGCAAAATGTGGTGATTCCTCAGTTACGTCTTATTACCTCCGTTCAGTCTGGATTTGATCCTCTATATAGCACTACAACGGCTCTGAGTCTCGTCACTGACGACATATTCAAATCACTTGACGAAGGAAATTTCACATAATTCTCTATCCATTTAATACTTTGGATCCTTTTATAATATTACAGATTATATATTTTGTTAATTTGTTTATCATTCAGTATATATTTTTTGTTGCATTTAGTTAGCTATGAATGAGATATGTTTATAAAAAAAGTTGTTGTTGATTGTCAAAAAGGTCAATAGACGTCAAAAAGTATAATTTGGTATTTTCTTGAAAAATAAAGTTTCTAAGGATATTACATGGTCCTTCGAGCCGGATTAATCATCGAAATATAGTATTTACAGTCCATAAATACGTACTGAAAAGGAAACATGTCTGAATATCGAAGAAGATCTCAGAGAAAAAATGCTGGCAAGACCAATAATTTTGATGATTATGCTCGATGGCCGCTGGCATTAGAGAGTAATATTCAAAGTATTCATGACAGTGTTCAGTCAGAATCAAATATCTTCATGTCTTTGCATCAGCAAGGAGACGCAACTCAGGCGCTGGAAATTGTCCAAACAGCTCCCACAGAAGAGCCGAAAGGTTCCGGATTTCATGTACAATCTAATAGAACTGGCAGTAGGGATGGAACAGATCCAGGATCAATCAGATATCCATCAAAAGTATCAGATTCAACTAGAAAATCGGCAAGGAAATCAAATGAATCCAAGGTATCTTCAAAGAGGGTAGAAATTGAAAGGAAGCGTTTGGCGTTGGAGACTGAGGTCGCGAGGACTGAGCTAATGAGGGAAATGAAAAAGCAGGAATTTGAAAAGCAAATGAGGATTCTAGATCTTCAGAAAGAGTTAGCTGAAACTAGAATTGAAGAGAAAGAGTTATGCTCTACAGGAGATATCAGTTCGAGAAAATCGTTCGCAGAGAGCACAGATAAAGAAAGCATGTTCAGAGGAGTACAAGAATGGGTTGATAAGTGTGAAGTGCATTCTGTTACTTTTTCCCCAGAAAAAACGAAAATCCAAAACACAAATATGTCACAGGAAAATGACATTTCAAAATTATGTCATGTTGTCGCCGATGCCATTAGAAGTGTTTCAAGGGGAAACTATTCGAATAATCATGCAATTGCTAAGGAACTACCTTTTTTTATGGCAAACCAGAAGACTGGCCGTTATTTATTAGTCAATTTAACAGGAAAACTGTTATGTATCAATACTCAGATGATGAAATGATGCTAATGTTACAGAGGTGCCTGAAAGGAGAAGCTCTTGAAGCTGTAATGAGTTTATTATTTCACCCTAAAAATATTATTCATGTTATTGAAACATCAGAAATGCGTTTTGGTCGTCCAAAATAAGTCATTGGTTCTTTGATAAACAAAACTCAGAATTTGCAATTTGTTAGAGATGGCGATTTTAATAATTTTATTAAATTTTCATCTCACGTCAATAACCTGGTGGCTACGTTGGAGCAATTTGAGACAAGTAATCATTTGAATAATCCGTTTTCACTGGAGCAGTTGGTAGGAAAATTACCCAATAGTCTGTAATTACAATGGGGACAGAAGATGGTGCTAAAAGGAAGTAAGGTGAATTTGAATGAATTATCTTCAGCTGCATGTTACGTAAGTCGAAAAACTTTCTCTACTACCAGTCACCATCAGAAAAAATT